CGTAACAAACCAAAACAGTTGTCAATCGAAAGATCTTCATGAGTACATCAACGTTGTCAATAGGCACAAATCTGTCAGAGAGTGCGATCATTGAGTTATAGGTCATCAACGTTCAAACCTTCGGTTGCTTTAAATTATTTGCAATATTTGAAAATCCCTTAATGCATGATTTTTTCTTTTTCGGCGAAAGAAATCTGGTGGATTTCACTCACGTCCTAGATCTATTGGATATTCTCTTTTAAATGAAATGTGTAAGCAGTAGGCTCGAACATGTTATTCTTGATCATTTCCTACTAACAGTATTTTCAGCTTTCTAACCCACGCTGCATGGATGCTAGAGAGCTCAGTAGGTCTGTCAACATTCGTGCATACCTCAACACAAAATAAAATGTAAAAATACGGAAGAGCCTGGACCCTGGATTAATGTAAATTGTAAGAAAGTTAAATTTAAAAACGTAAATGGATGGGGTATCCTGAGCGTAATGCATGCCAATCTGGGAGAGGGCGGCAGCTCTGGACCCGCCCTCCTTCATAGTAGAAGAACGCCGGAAAACACTCTAGGAAACACCAATATCCCAAATAAGTCCCTGGTCCGGCCATTGCAGACTCCCGGCTTCGACCTCAGTCTCCGGGAATGGTCTATATTGAATCGCATCAGGACAGGCCAAGGTGGCTGCGCCCAGCTCCTCCTCCGACGACCTATTGTGCGACCACAGTCACGAAGAACAGACCATGCAGCATATCATCCATCAGTGCCCCCTACCGACACATCCGGGGAATGTCACATGAACATAATGTTCTTTAAGAAGCCATCAACTGGCTCACCAACATTGACATCGACTTTTAAAGATCTTACAAGCCACTCATGTCATGCGATAAAAGATACGGACGAAAAGATGGACAACTCCAATCCAGGTTTTGCTCGCAAAGGCAATTTACGAGGAGAAGAATGTGCAAAAATGACTATTGCTATCACAGTTTCAAAAGGGGCATCCTTGTGGTGATTCCTTAAGGTTTTCTGCTGAGTACGAGCTTCCTTTATAATACAAATGCATCCCACATAGTCATTTCGAGAAGACATGCTGAATCGATAGTTAAACATACTGAAAATGGTGAACGAGCAAATATTGAAATTGTACTCCCATCTAAAGTACCGTACAAACGCTTCTGTGGAGAAATCGACAAGGGAGAAGATGCAAAAATGGTGCTTCATCTTTTAGGCCACAAACTAAAACGGAGTTTTGTTGAAATTGGTACATATGATGGTATTTCAGTCAGGGCATCCCTTTTCCTGGAGAGATTCATGCATTGGGAAGGCCTTGGAATAGAAATGGTGCCTTCTCTTTTTAACAAAGCACTCAGCGCTAATAGAAAATGGCATTTAGTCCGTGCTCGTGGAGCTGTTAATCGATCAACCTATAATATAATCATAGAGAATCAAGTGGTGACATGCTTTCCGCTTCATGAGTTGCTTAATGCAGCTATCTTCACGAAGTTGGGCTTTCTTCGGTTGGATGTAGAAGGAGCTGGTTTGCAAGCAACCGATTTTTCTAAGGTTGAATTTAATGTTATTGTATGGGAGAATGAGGGGAACATTTGGCCAAACTTAGTTGAAATGGAGAAGCTGATGAGAGAGAATGGTATGGTCATGATCAGTAGAAAAGCAGCCCCAGATAGCAACTTTGAAGAGCCTGTATTTGTCAAAGCAGAAATACTCCAAGAACGTGAGGGAACCCTGGTAACAAATGATTTGGGTGCTGCAATGGACTTCCAAAATATCATCAGGAGACCTATAAGCCGCCTTGAAGTTCCAAAAGAAATGTGGAATAAGCGTCGACAATGAGAGGAGAGATTGGGAAAACCACATCTACAGTATATGAATGAATCTCATTTCCAAACTCTTTGTTTCCATTTTTCCTTATCGTGATAAATCATAAGGTATTAAAAGTGCTGACCAGGCCTGAATTGGCAGTACTTTTAATCTGTCACTTAATATTAAAAGTGTAGCATAAAATTTGAAGAACAAGAATGTTATATCGCTAAATTGTGTGATGTAAAAATGCGAAGAAAATGCTATCTATATGTGACGCCTACCCAGCCAACCCATGTGGGTGGCCCATTCCAGGTGTCGTTGGAATCTCACTTGCACCAAGGGCGTGGTTCAATAAAAGATCAGTCCCTCTCTAAACCTGATAATATATTTAAAACTTTCAAAAGAGCTTTTGTAAAAGACAATAAAGCTTAGGCCTATAAAAGAAAAATAGTTTAAAGGGGCCACTCAAAGGGGGGGTAACAACATATAACGAGCCAATAGCCACAAGGCCAAGGATATAAAATATAAAAAGGAAAAAGGAAATAAAATACAGATAAAGAAGCGGCAAGGCAGCGGCGTGTAGGTGGGGAGAAGCAATCACAGTCCAATCACAGTCTCTTCACAGTCTCATCACAGTCNAGGCCAAGGTGTTCCTTCAAGATTGTTTTGCATGATGGAGCACTTATCCCAAGGGTCCTTTGGATGACTTCGTAGGTGATTCGTGGATCTTCTTTGATGAGGGCAGCAACAGCAGCGACATTTTCATCATTGGTCGCTGGTTTTGGGCGTCCTTCTGGCGGCTGATTGTGGCGGTCAAAATTTCCACTGCGAAATTTTTCATACCACCTCTGGACTGTCCTCAGAGACAGATCTTGAATCCTACAAATCGTTTTCAGCTCATGGAGGCACTCGGAAGCACTTTTTTTTGAGAGGAAGTTGTACAAGATGAACGCGCGGACTTCTTCCTTTGAGAAGACCGGAAAAGCTGGCAGGTCAGCTTCACTTTTTCGTTTCCTGCGCCCTTCCATTTTTTCCAATAAATTTGAAAAAGATATGGTAACCTCATGAATGATTGTACATCACGGAGGAAAGAGAGCAACCGGCTCAGCCTAAAGCAACCTGACAAACGACAGCCCTAGCCTAGTGCCCCTCGTAGTGGTAGCACACGTGACCGGCAATCAGGAGTTCCGGGTTCAATTCCCGGTCTTTCCTTGCTCTCTTTCGGCCTCTTATGCCTTCCAAGTCGCGTTACTCATTCCCCATCCATAACAACTTCTTTCCTTTAGTAAAACGGAGAGACATGGAAAGCTGAAACTTGGCATGGACATGCCTACCGAGACGATGGGTTCAGGAAAAATGTAAAATTTTAGATTCATGCCCTGTGGGGGCATATTTTTAGGGGCCTATTGAGCTGCTGAGGAAAGATGAAACTTGGTTCATAAGTACCTATTGGCATGTTGTGTGCACAAAATCTTTGCTAGTGAAGGCTCATCGCATATGCACTTAGACACGACCTCACTTAAACTGCTCTGAGAGCCAACTAATGCGTCATACATTGGTCAATGTCACATTATTTGAAACATAACAAACAATACGTTTTTGTTAGGTTCAACAGGTGGTGCTCATACGGTCAATTCCCGAAGCTTTTGGATCGCACCTCGTACGATGTATCTTGCGCGTATGTGCGGAGAGCCTCCGCCCAAAGTCATAGCGTATATGGCCTATAATGCGATGATTTTTCCACAAGCATTCTCATCGCTACAATTTATTATAGCTCCATTATTCTGAAAATACTTTTACTTACCTGTATAATCCTTTTTTGGACAACTCCAATCCAGGTTTTGCTTGCAAAGGGAATTTATGAGGAGAAGAATGTGCAAAAATGACTCATGCTACCACAATTTCACCAATGGCATCCTTTTGGTGATTCCTTATGGTTTTCTGCTGAGTACGAGCTTCCTTTATGCTCCAGATGCATCCCACATAGTCATTTCGAGAAGACGTGCTGAATCGATAGTTACGAGTAAACACACTGAAAATGGTGAACGAGCAAATATTGAAATTGTACTCCCATCCAAACTCCCGTACAAACGCTTCTGTGGAGAAATCGACAAGGGAGAAGATGCAAAAATGGTGCTTCATCTTTTAGGACACAAAAGTAAAGGGAGTTTTGTTGAAATTGGTACATATGATGGTATTTCAGGCAGTGCATCCCTTTTCCTGGAGAGATTCATGCATTGGGAAGGCCTTGGAATAGAAATGGTGCCTTCTCTTTTTAACAAAGCACTCAGCGCTAATAGAAAATGGCATTTAGTCCATGCTTGTGGAGCTGTTAATCGATCGACCTATAATATTATCATAGAGAATCAAGTGGTGACATGCTTTCCGCTTCATGAGTTGCTTAATGCAGCTAACTTCACGAAGTTGGACTTTCTTCGGTTGGATGTAGAAGGAGCTGGTTTGCAGGTCATGCAAGCAACTGATTTTTCTAAGGTTGAATTTAATGTTATTGTATGGGAGAATGAGGGGAACATTTGGCCAAACTTAGTTGAAATGGAGAAGCTGATGAGAGAGAATGGTATGGTCATGATCAGTAGAAAAGCAGCCCCAGATAGCAACTTTGAAGAGCCTGTATTTGTCAAAGCAGAAATACTCCAAGAACGTGAGGGAACCCTGGTAACAAATGATTTGGGTGCTGCAATGGACTTCCAAAATATCATCAGGAGACCTATAAGCCGCCTTGAAGTTCCAAAAGAAATGTGGAATAAGCGTCGACAATGAGAGGAGAGATTGGGAAAACCACATCTACAGTATATGAATGAATCTCATTTCCAAACTCTTTCTGTTTCCATTTTTCCTTATCGTGATAAACCATTAGGTATTAAAAGTGCTGACCAGGCCTGAATTGGCGGTACTTTTAATCTGTCTCTTAATATTAAAAGTGTAGCATACAATTTGAAGAACAAGAATGTTATATCGCTAAATTGTGCGATGTAAAAATGTGAAGAAAATGCTATATATACATAATGTCTGTTTTCATAAACTATAAGAAAACTGCAAGGGATATTGGTGTTGTTTTGCAATAGGAAGGAGATTCGTATTTAAAACCTGTATCCTGAAAAGTAAATAACAGGGAGCTGTATTCAAGGCCACAGTGTGGCCAGCGCTAATAAAGACACACATGTTCATTCTGATTTTTTTTTGTTCAATGACCATTTATTTGTACAGCATGCCCTTTACAGAAAGAGCATACAAGATGGGAAGAAGTGGTATATACAATTTGGGGATATAGAAAGGTTCTGTCTTCGGTAGTGGTGGGAGTCCAGGTCTTGGGGTTGTAGAGGTGGAGTGGAGGTCTTGGGATTGGGTGGGTCCGCGGCCAGCCACCAGGTGGTGTCAGACCAGGGGTTGCTGAGGGAGGTAAAATATATATGAGTCGGCATGGTCATTGTGGGGGTGGTTTTTCTTCTTGTTTTATAGTTTTTATTTTTTTAATTTTTTTTATTCATTATGGTTTTATATATATATTTGTTGAGTTCTTTATGGGTTTTTAAGTTTTTTTTTATTAATCTATTTATATATATATTTATGTATTTAATAGTAATGGTAATGATTATATGGAGGTTCTACGGGTCAGGGGTCAAGTTTTGTACAGCTAGAATGAGGGAAAGACTTCCGACCCGTGGAATGGTGCATGTGACATATCAATCGCAAGCTCTTGAGTGGATTGCGATGGTGCATATTTTAGCTGCGAAATATGAGAAAAAATGCAGTAATTTAATATGTAGTCGCGTTGAACGGAGGGAATGTCCGTTTGCGTTGGAACAGAAACCCTTATTTGTGGTTATAGGTATCATTCTAATATAAGTTGGGTTCGGTGGTGTAGTGGTAGCTTAACTGATCGAGGTTAAGAAGACCCCGGTTCAAATCCCAGTCGTGCCTTGCATTTTTTTTCGTCCAATCCCGGCAGCCCCCCCCCCTACCTTTAGTCTTCATGACATGTGCCCCCCAAAAATTTCCAACTTGAAACTTTTTCACGCAGTGTTTTTGCGTTTTTGATCGATACTCTAACTAAACTCCGAAAAAAAAAACAGGAAGAAGGCACATCATGTGACCCGTATTCATTCCATGTTTGGCCGAACGAGCGAGAAAGTCAGCCAAATTTGGGGAATGATGGAGCAGTTGAATCAGAAAATAATTGTGGCCAAAAGGCCGCAACCCTAAGATCCGCTATACCAGGACATTAAAAAATGAAAGACAAGTGACACTGAATTTCAAATCGCAAACCTGACCTCGATGTTCCTTGGTTCACAGTGTTGTTTTGCTGTCTTAATGGCCGGGTACTCTTTATGATCTCCTCCTTTCATCCTAAGGCGGTTCCCAGTCTTATCTCCAATGCTGTCGCTAACCATGACAAAGATCCTCCCGTCTTTCGCTGAGAACAGAAACTTGTCTCGGTAACCGAACTGGTCATAACCTGCGGAGAAAAATAATCGTGAGTGTTGCAGGAAAGCAGTAGGGCGGCATGGATATGTTTTCAATATCTTAGACCACCCGTTGACATTCAAATTAAAATGAATAATTCAATCTTTCATTATGATAATTACCCGAAAAGAAAATAACTGGTTGTCGCGAGTATAAAAAAATGGCTTCAAAGGGACATATGTTTTGGGTTTTCCGCGCGATTTATGAAATCCCTTTCCTTTCGAAAAAAAAAATCACTCCCAGGCTGAGGACAATCATTCATAAATATAAAATATATCTGAGTTCAAAATAATTTCAAGTTATTATGCTTAAAACTAACTTGGATCGGAGACAGGATGTCCAGAGATCGATTTTCATTGGCAGAGGTGGAGGGTAAGTTGTTTTTCTTCATCTCAGAGCTGCTGGATTCAAGGAGAGACACTACTCCGACGTATGGTCACCGATCTAAAAATAGAAATTACATTATATGTATGTATTTGACTTTACGCCAATGATGAACTCGTCACCAACTCCTCATAAATGTTGACCCCGTCATCAAATTAACAATGAACCTTCACTAAATTGTAGTTATCGATCAAATTTTTATTTTCGCATGTAAAATATTTCAGTGCTTTACTCTATTCCAGTTTATGTTATGCTGTGCATAACATATTAGCATGCACACGGAGTCCGGCTACAAGCGGCTCGGAGTACAGTGATTTGGTACGTACGAGTATTTACCCGGCCTACATGAACGTAGGAACAATTCTGATAATAAATCATTACATATTCATGACGGGATCAATAGTACCTTTTGATTAACTAAATGCTCACCTTTTCTAGGGGCACACAATTTAGGAAGGGCATAGAAAGAAAGAAAAGTGGCATGCTGGAATGCAGCAGCTACATGTGAAAGCTGGTCAATTTCCGAAATGGGGACCCCTGAGAGAGCATATATAGAAATTGGATGCACACCAAACTAAGCATAAATATGAAGACGGAACTCACTTCTCGGGATGAACACCTTGTGTCAGCTACTGAATGAGTGAAGACTATCCAAGGGCACCATATACTGTACACCACGCTCGTGAGAGATTGACCGACCCCTGACTGAGAGGAAAAACTGAAGCTCCTCCTCTCTTGCTCTCTGATTGGACCGTGCAAATGCGCCCTTTTTTCATAATTCTTTTTTGGAAAGACGTGTCACCATCGCTTCCATTTTGATTAAACAATAACTATTTCCTTTAAAACATTTTCAGAGAAGTGAAGGCGATTCTGATTTTTAAAAAAAGGCAATTCCGATTGACGTCGATCATGGCTTTCGAATGCAGTTAATTTTTCAATTCACTGATGCTTATTATGCTCTTGGCCTTTCTAAGAGCTTAAGGTAATTCCGGACGACCTGTACTTTTCATTTCATCGATTAGACTCTAACAACCCCAAGAGAAATTACAGTATATAGTGTGCGAATAACACACGCACGTATTTGTGTCATGGGATAATTTATTCATGTTGGTCCTACTAAAACGTGGCACAAGAGTGGTCACATTTCAACACGTCCACAGACGCAGTAAGATGTGTCATATGACACACTGGAGGAGAAAATATCCCAAATGATACACTCATTTGTGTCCCATGAGAAGTCTGAATAATGGACTGCCAAAAAAAAATGTGCCGTGAGGCAGGACACATTTCAATGTGTATACTGACGGAGTAAGATGTGGCAAATAACACTTGCACCAAATAACACTAAGTGCATTAATACTGGCATCATTCCGTGTCGCCTAGGAGATCCAGGACACGCTTTAGTGTCACTTTACACAGGGATTTTCTTCCTATGTACCTCTTTGCCATGAGGAAGAGCCTGAAGCATTATCTTACGTCAGATCAACAGGCGGAGGGGAAGGAGAGGGTGCGCGGAGGTAGAAGGAGGGGGCGGATGGTAAGGGGGGAGTGGGTACTAAGCCGAGAAACGCAGAGGACAATAGCACGGGCCAGTGAGGGAAATACCGAGTGAGATAAAGAAAATGCACCGCTCTTTAAGATTCTTTGGAGTTCATGAGATAGCAGAAAAACACTGCAAAAACTTATTTTCAACGACTTCTACGTATCATTTAAACGTCCTAAGCCTCTTGCCCGTTTTTCTCCAATCGTTTTAGCACTGGAGCGAAAATGCAAAGACCTATCACAATTCATTTTTGCGCGAGGAAAGGTATAGCGAAAAAGTAGTTAGTACGTGTGGAGCTCATTAACCTTGGCCCAGATCTCCTCCGCATGCCGATAAAAATGCTATTTGCGAAAGGATGGGGTAGGGCCGAATTTTGCAAGAATTTTCCAGTAAAGAGTCAAAGATCTATAGGCCGTGAAGATATTGATTCACAAGCTACAAGAAACCGGTTCATTTGAGGGGAGCCAGAGGAACGGAAGACTAAAACTCATCGGAAGTGAAGGAAATTACGTTCATGAGGAAGAAGTAATTTTTCTTCTAGATGAATTTGGGGATGAAAAATTCCTATCTGCAGATTGCCAAACGCAAGAACAAGAGGAAAAAACCGTTGAAAAGGGTTGTCTCCGCGAGTAAGTTAGGAAAATTCTCCCGTAAGCGTCCAGGGGCGAGTGCAAAAATAAAATTCCAGTTGCTTTTGCAAAATCATTCGTGTGCTAAATTGGCTGGAGGTAAACGGCCAAACATGTTCCTATGCTCGAAGGATGCATAGAGGTGTGTATACGAAAGAAACTTCGTTATTTTAGTTGCTATTTCAGAGGCGCTGGGAATTTTCAATGAGCAGTGCGTTTTCATTTTGCCTCACCCTTTATATCTGGTCTAGATATATATATATATATATATACATTGTTTATGGTACGGAATAGATATGGCGATAGAAGGATGGGCAAGATAGGGAAGGCGAATGAAATGGGGAGGGGGACCTTTACTGCTGCTTTAACATTTGATGATACGGTAGAAATAAGTATCCCCTTGAATTATAGGGCCGAAAGCTCTCTATCCTCAAGGTAATATATGAACGTAATTTTAGAAGGTTGTCATGTGTAGATGACGTCACCATCATTATTTTCGTTGACTCCTGATGAGTCATCATCATACTTTCTTTTTTATCACTTAGACTATTTTGTCCTAGTCCTCATTTGGGACTAAAATGTCCGGGATCATTTGTACCAGGACCATTTTATCCTGGATTCGTATGTTGTAACCTGACAGGAAATGTCCCTACGTTGGAACTACATCTGCCTTCACAATTCGGAAATGCCACCAATGCAGGCTTTTTAACGTAATTTGCGAATGTGCGCCTTTGGTGGGATTTTCAATATTTTTCTAAGCAAGAACGCATGACGCAGCAATAATGCTTGACCTTGAGCCTGATCTGCCCTCTTCTGATTCTACGAGTTTCAGTAGGATTACTACATTTCATGAAACGTGTACAAGCTCAAGCTTTTCTATCAAAGGATGAAAAGTTAATCAAGAGGCTATATTTGTTCTTGTCTGCATATTTTACGGACAAAATATGTGAAATGCAAGGTCAGTGCATCCAGTTCTCACTTATGTGACAAATTCCCAGAAATGCTCTCCAACCTAAATATAGAAGGGTTGATGAGTAGCCCTGCCGACTCTAAACATTGGAAAGGGGGATCGACGGGGTCTTCGTAGCCCCCCCCCTCACTGAGGACACCCTGAGGAAGGGGAAAAGAAGGAAATGTCAATCACTTTCGGAGCGTTCCACACCCCAGACTTTCCATCCCGTCCTATTATTTTGCCATTGATCATCGGGTTTCCCCTTTGACCTGGTACCCTGCTGACACTTTTATTGCTTACTTGCTAATCTCTTCCATCCCAGGTGCGCATCCATAACCTTGTTTAGAGTGTAAAAGGTTCCCGGGAAATCCCTGGGAGAGGAAAGAAATAGATCTTGTCGAAGCTCCGCTCGCCCCCCCCTCCCCAACTTTTCTTTCTCATGCGTTTTGATCTGGGCCGACCCAGGCCTGGGATTTTCCCTCACTCCACTCCAAGTCCAAAATTCTCTGAATCTTTCCAGTCCGCCAAATGAGGGTTTTATTCAAGACGAACATACGGAAAAACCCTGAACGAAATAAAACTTCCAGAAAGAAAGCCACCAAGAAAAAGTGACCCCCTTCTCATTCGCTTTCCCCTAACTTGCTCATCCTCCTATTGAATTCCTATTCCATATTTTAAAATATACACAAAAGCCTTGTTTGAACTAGATAAAATTCCCAGGCCTAGATTTTCCCCGGGAAATGCCATTTTTTAATTAACTGTCTCATGTCTGACGCTTCTGGCCCAACAGCATTATTCAGACCCGGGAATACGCTCTGAGGAAGTGGAAGATCCTTTTCGCACCTCGCATCAGTTTCTTAGGGTGGCTGTTTCACTGGATACTTGCTCTTCGATTTTGCATATTGGTTTGATAGCATGTTGCTTTATAATAATTTAAGAGACCATGTTATTTCTAATATCTGAGATTGCATATGAAAACATTATATATTCTCTTTGCCAGTATAATTTTATTTCTTAGAGAGATTCATGTGAGAAATTAGGTACGGCTAAATAATGAGTCTTTAAGTTTTTTTTCTTTGTCCTGTATCTGCTTTTCAGTTCGCAGATTTTTTAATTTGTTCAATCATGCTGACAGCAGGCGATGAGCCTTGCTGTTTCTCGCTGCTCCATCTAATATCGATTGAACATTGAGCTCCTTGAATAGTTTTAATAAAGCCAAGTGGTTCGATTCGGTCAAAGCCCGAGCCGGGACCAGGAATTTCCCGGGCCTTGGCCGGCCCGGACCGAAACGCCTAAGGCGAAAATGAGGGCCCGACTTGGATCACCCTTTTCTTTTCCCGAGAAATTCCCGGGAATCTCTTCTTGTCGAAACAAGGCTATACGTTAGATATATTTCCCTCACTGGCCCTTTGCCTTGTCCTCAACGTTTTTCGGCTTAGAACCAACTACCCCCCTCCTCCGCCCCCTTCGTCCTCCTCCTCTCATCCTCTCCTCCCCCTCCGCCTGTTAATGTAGCGCAAGATAGGGGAAAGCGAATGAAAAGGGGATGAACCTTCAATGCCGCTCTAACATACGATTTCCCGTTCCTTTGTTTTGCAGTTTTGAAGGCATTAAATTTGTATTAATCTTTCTTACAAACGAGTACCCTGTCAAATTACCCGACATAAAGATATCGAGAGGAACTGATGATACATGCGATCACAATGTATTCGTGCCAGATTTTGTTATCGTGTCCAATGCTGCTCATTTGCTTATTTGAGAGTAGAATTTTTTATTTTATTTGAAAAAATAGCGGATCAAATGTAACAACAATGTGGACAACATTCAATGCGAAGCATGAACCATTTCTCGCTTGAACTTACTTAGAGGATGAACAGCTTCAACTTAACTCAGTCAAAATAAAGGACTCCTGAGAAAGCCCCATATGCCAGGTCATGGCTGAACACTTTGTAGGGAAGAACTTGTCTTAAGTCTTAGGAAAAAAAAAATTCGCCTTGTTTCGAACCGTGGTCCCACGTCACGGGAGGCCGACGCGCTTCCGCCGAGCCCCTGACTTGGCCATACCTCATTAACACGTTGACGACCAGCCTATTTTTGCTTGTCCGCCGCGTGGGACCACGCGCATTTTTTTTGTCAAAAAATGCGTCCTGCCATCAGGACGCATGGTCCCAGAAAACATTTTTTTTGCCGAGTTTTTTTTAAATGTTGAATTTTTTTGGAATTTTTATCAGTAATTACGAAATCATAATCTTCTGGAACGTTCTCAACAGTTCCAGAGGGTATTCATTGAAAATGTGGAAGTTTCTCGAAGGTGATAGAAAATTGAAGATTCTTCGAGATCCCTCCGGGCCCAGGGCCTTGTTACTATAAAAACCCTGGGGAAATCGTGATAAGCAATCAGTTTTNCTGACCGACTTCAAACGTGCAATTTCCAAGTCGTTGCTGGACCTGGACGGCAGACGCGCCTCGAGCCGAGGAAGAAAAAGGAGACTTATTGAAAACAGGGATCTCAAGACAAACGATCGGCGACGCTGCAAATGCTGCTATCAGATGCTCGTAGTCGACCAGGGTCGGACCTATGCCAACAACAATGCCAAAAAAGTCAGAACCCAATGCAGCATCTGTCAAGGCTTTGTATGTCTCGATTGTTTCCAAAATAGTCATAAAATCTGTGTTCCTCTCTAGGTTTTCGAGTTTATCGTTTAGCTTTGTTGTTCAATAAAATATTCACTAAAATCGGCCTTACAACTACAAAACTAACAAGCTTTACCTTAGAAGATGAGTCTTTCATGTTCACTTGAATAAAATATTCACCATAAGAGATCTGCATGGACCACGGCAATCATAGATACTACACAGCCTGATGATCAATATGTGATCGCTAGATACTCGATATCTGCGCACAAGACGTTTTTTGGAACCTGCATCCTGCCATCAGGACGCATTGTCCCACGTGGCAAAAAATCTGCATCCTGGCATCAGGACGCATTGTCGCCAACGTGTTAACAATTTGGGGCTTGCATGTAAACGCAAATGTTTTCTGTGCGGAATCCAACTCATTTTTTAAACATGGGAATCATGAGGCTTAATTTCACTTTAAAGGCAGGTGAGGAATTCGATGGCTGAAGTTACAACCGTAAACCAGACTTTTTAGGAAAGTGAGAACGTATTTTCATTGTGTTCAATGTTCTTCAATTAGAAACAATGCCATTCCTCAAATAACTTGATCATAGGAAGATCAACAAGTCGACTGGATGTCCTGTTTAAACGCATTTCCGCGCGCCCATGTTAAAGGGATTGGAAAAAAGGGCTCTGAGGAGACAAAGGACGCGCACCGCTCCACTAGCCTCACAGCACCGTCACCACTCCCGCTTTTCCCCTCTCCCATGCCACTTCCACCCTCTCGCTCCAGGCTTGTCTGGTAGTCTTGGAGCCCTTCTTTTGATAATATCGATTAGCATGCACCCATCCCGACAAGTAGGTATCTCCATTCATTCTGTGCAAGCAGGGGCAAGCTGAGATGCACGATTGTTACAGGGCGTTGGTCGTTCGTCTGCTCCCATACATCATCAGCCTGCCATTCGCGAGAAGTTTTGTCAAATGCTTTGGGTAGGAAGGGATTGAAGGGAAGGGAAGGGAAGGAGCACTAGCGAGTAGGAAAGCATTGAAAGATTGCCCGTATTCAACGCTTATAATTTCCCCGGGAAAGACATCAGCCCATTTGCGAATGAAGTCATGATGCAGTTCATGATCTGACTCTTTTGAGGATGTGACATCAGGAGTTGACATTCTCCAAAGGAAAGCGAAGTTCGGCAATGAATACAGTAGTTGTTCGTTCCTATAGAATTGAAATTATCAGTCCTCTCCGATCTCGGAGCGAAGGAGGCGGAGTTCCGTTCTACCAAGCCAGGCTTGAGGCCGTTGTAATGCGAGGTCCTCAGTTTCCCCCCACCTCACGCGGCCACAAGTCGTTCTATGCCCCATCTGCATCATTGTGGATAAGTGTGGTTTCAGGAAGAACTCCATCTCTCCTTGCTCCCTTTCTCACGTTTATTTTTGCCTGTGCCACGTCTTTCTTCATTCCAAGTTTCTGAAAATACAGGCGAAAATATATACTTTCTCTACTATTTCTTATTTATAATTTCGTGCCTGTTCTTGTCGAGTACCTTTCCTGTTGTTGAGTGGCAAATATTATCTTGATTGCTTTTCCTTGCTGCTTTTTTAAAACCTTTTATCCAGTCTTCATTTGCATATTCCGGTTTTAGAAGTTCCTGCTGTAGAGTTTTAGACAGGTAGTTTCAGTTTTATGCTTCAACCTTAGAACTCCATATGGAGGATAACTTTGCTCCTTTGGCAAGGAGCAATAAGCTCACAATCCCATTGATCGGTCATCAGTTGTCAGCCTCCTTTACGCCATCGTCATGCTCAAGTAAGTTTGTTTATATTTAAATTTCACAATGTAGAAACATCCATTAAAGTTGAAAGTTCATGTTGTGTCAAATGTCTCGGTGGAAGTGGGCTAATATTAGTGAGTTCATGCGCGACTGGTGAAGGTGTTAAATAAATCGAGAAGGGATTTTACAGCATTACATTGATTAGATAAAATGCCATCAGGACTGAAACGCCTAGTCGCATATTAATGTATTGCCGATGTTACAGGCAATGAAATGAATCCAAAAGGAGATGCTGAAGAAGAGGACCCAAACTCATCGGCCTCATCTGTTCTTTTGGCACTTACCCCGCTGAAATCCTTCGCAACGGACGGATGCATCACAGGTATGTCTCCAGCGTTATGGCAAATATGAAATAATGGCATTAGTTAATTAACCCTCATCCAGGCAAAGTAATTTGTAATGTTAGCAGGTAAGGGGAGTCCAAAAGACTCTTCCTTCCTTTTTAATTATCAACCTGTATTTATATGGCTGTCCTGTTTGCAATAATCTCACATTGACACAAGAACAATTCGGAATGTATTCATATGTAAACAGATTAGAAATTTCTCCATGAAAAATAGTTGACGATTTTGTTTGTTGACGATTGTCAGATTTTCAGACTTGGACTAGATTTTCAGTCAGCTCGTCCATGTCTAGGATGCTTTTCATGATTTCTTATAACATTCAAGATCGTAGCGATATATCTTTGGGAACAAAAAATAAATAAGATTGATATTGTGAAAAAGATAATAAATTGCAAATCATTGACTCATTTTCAAGTCAATGACAGTGTTGGAGTGTTTTACCAACTCCTTCGCTACAGGATACTGGAAGGGAGTACTAAATGATTGATGTCAGCGGTGGTGAAAAGCTACTGAAAAACAAAGTAACTATCGTATGCAATTCCCAATAATTTTGCGTCCAGTGGCGTATTTTTGGTCTAATAGACGGGTGGGGGGGAGGATCAGGACAGCAGAGTAGAGGAACTAATACGTACTTGAGGAATATCAGAGGGGAAAAATATTGTCTCAAAGAGGGCGCCGGGGGTGGAGGGAGGGGGGGGATGGAAGTCCGCAGCCCCTCACCATCTGCGCCGCTTATTACGTCTCATCCAAATAATCTTACCCTGCATGAAACAACGAGAAAATCACATATGGTAGCGAGGCTTACTTGATCAGGTGCACAAACACTGCATGCAAGTTTGACCATGGAGTAGAGATATTAGTCAATTCTGAAGTACGACGGGATTTTTCTGAGTTGCGCAAAATTAAGAGGTTTTCCCAACGTAAGTTTTTTGTTGCGAGATGGTGCAACGAAATGGTTGTGAGTGGGAGCCGTAAAGAGCAGAAAGCCATTGCGAATCGTACATGTAAAATCTAATGAGTCCAGTTCCCCTTGCCCGTTTACGTCAGGAAGGTGTTTACGAATTTTTGCAAGTGCAAAAAAATACGCAACAATTCGGATATAGGGCAGCTGTTCGAATCGCTTATTGCCAGATCTATGCGGAACTGACCTAATGAGGGCAAGAAGAGGGAAGCAACAATCAAATCGGCCACCCCCGAACCCCAGGGCGACTCTGCCCCTTTTTTGAGGGGGGAAGGATATCAATGAATGTAAGAGGGAAGGTATTTCTAGAATTGTGGGAAGTAGAGGGTTGAAAGGAGAGGAAACAGCCTCTGGTTTCCTTCTTCACTCCCCCTGCCCCCTCATAAATCATAAAGTTTTCCCTTTGGCCTGACATGCTAATGTCTTCCTTTGCTTATCTCTCTCGACCCGCGATTCGAACGGATGTACTATCTAATATATATAGACGATCGTGACTGACTGACTGACGCTAATTCTAACCATGTTCCAGAAAGGTTAGAAATCTGAAACTTGGTACACATATACCTCTTGGTGTGGAGAGTTCAGAAAAAATCCGAATTTGGAGGTACATGCCCTGGGGGTACACATTTTGGGGGGAGAAGTTTTTTTAAATATATGGAGTGAATGACGAATATGTCATCGAGAGGCGTGACTGGATGTCTTGTGTTCGTGGTGTATTGGTAGCACATCAGACTGATAATCGGGAAGCCTACGTTCAATTCTCGGCCAATTCAGGTTTTTCTTTTTACTTCTCTTTTCTTCCATGTCCCGTTGACTGAATAAAACGGAGAGACATGAAAAGCTGAAACGTGGCATGGACTTGCCTACTGAAACGATGAGTTCAGGAAAAATGCAAAATGATAGAACCATGCCCTGGGGGCAAAGTTCTTGGGCAGGCGTGTAAAAGTATTTTTGTCCTGGCGTGTTGATAATAGTGTGAAAAGATGCATGCAGAAAAATTCAGACTTTGGAAGGAAATGCCCGGGGGGCACAAATTTCAAAGGGAGATGTTTTCACATAATTAATTTACATTTTTAGTTAAATCAATCGACATTAAAAGCTGGAGCTTTGTATGAATGTGACTACCGAGATGAGGAGTTCATGAAAAATGCAAAATGTAAGTTCCATGCCCTGTGGGGGCATATTCTTAGGGGCCGACGTTTTCATGTAATTTTTTTTGCTCTGGCTTATTGGGCTGGGGTGGAAAGATGAAACTTCGTATATAACTATCTATTGGGATGCTGCAGAAAACTTCAGGCTTTAGAAGTAAATGCCCTGGGGGCACAAAATTCAAAGGGAGATGTTTTCAAATAATTTCTTTCCATTAGTTAAACTGATGAACATAGAAAGCGGAAACTTTGCATGAATGTGACTACTGAGACAAGGAGTTAAAGTAAAATGTTACGTCTAGATACATCTCCTAGGCAATTTTTTCGTGGGGCGATGTACAAAAAAAATTGTTTAGGCGAATTGGACAGAAATGTAAAGGTGAAACTCGGCACACGCATAAATGACAATATTATTGAGTTGAGGAAGTATTCAGCTTTCATGGTGTATACCCTCCGGGCATAGCTTTTGGGTGGGTTGGGTTTTCCAAGCAAGTTTTTCCACCACCGAAAAGGTCAAATGTATAATGTTGAAACATTCTAAGCATGTAGTTGTCTGAGGACTGATTTCGGTAAAAAAAAAAGAAGAAATGAATGTACTTTTCGGTTAAAACGGCTCAGTGCACATCTTTTGCAAATGGCTTATTTTCTTGATCAAGCAAAACGGAGGGCGTTAGAAATTTTATAATTGGAAAAGAAGAACCTGATGGATAACTGTGTGTAAATAAAAAATAATACTTTTATTATATATTGATGATAG